CAAGCAGTTCCACATCCAAGCACTCAAGACCCACACACTCATCTTCCCAGGAGTGGACTCCCAGGGGCACCTCCCTCCATCTGCAAACTGCCCATCAGTATGTGTTCACTGCTCATCCTCAGCTCTCCATGAGGGTCTTAATGTAAAGGTGGAACCAGGCTCAGAGAAATGCAGCTTGCTGCCAGGGTCACCCATGAGACCAGCCGAGACGCAAACCATCGTTCCTTTGGGGGTTAATTTCTTGACACTCATGAGTCGTCCTCCCCCCACCCTACCCCCCGCCCGCATAGTGCCAACAGTCAACATACTTGGATGCCAACAAAGGTTGGCACCGAAGGTACACCCAGAGGTGCCATTAAAAGAAGGCCCAGTGCCCCACTTCCAAACAGCCAGCTACTGAAAAGCCTGGGGAGCACTATTCTCCTCTAGCACATAAGGTTGCTGTCAGTTGAAATTGATAAAAAAAAAGAAGAGAGAAGTCGTGAGGCTGGTGAAACATCCTCCACCTCCTCCTGGCTCCCTGTCCCCCGATGGTGTCAGGGACCCAGGACACTGCTCTCATGTTATAGGAGGTGGGTCCTAACTCGTCCAGAGCCATTTCCTCTGTCAGAGGGTCTGGAGACCCGGAAGGTCCCAGCACATCCCCTCCACTCTCCCTTAGCCTCTTCTCAGTCTCAGCCTTGGCAAGGTGATGAATTAGGAGCCAGAAGCTGGCACATCCACCAAGCAATTAGTGTTTATCTCTCTTGTTTATGTGGCTGAACAACAGTTCGTTTTCGAACTTAATAGTCAATACTCAGAAAGATAAAACTGCCCGAGCACTCCTGAGAGGTGATTTGAAGTTTGGGCGGGGAGAACAAATGCAGAGGTGAGCTCAGCTCCACCCCTCGCCTCTAGGGCCCATCTCCGAAAGATTATTCTAGGGAGTGAGGGGCTAGGATCCCACTGTAGCCCCATCTAGTGTTCTGCCTTGTCACTGAGGCCCCTACTCCCAGGTCCTAAAGACAAGCCCACATGTCCCTCAGCCCCACCCCTTAGGCCTGTCCCCATGGGGACACCAGAACCTTCTAGGGGCCACCTTCCCTGCCCACCACTGCAAGTTCTAAGCCAAACTGGTAACAATTTGGTGGGCAACCAGCAAGCCCCTCACTCCCACTCAGGCTGGGGATCTGCCTTCCCACAGTCACGCACCCCATCATCTCTGAAGATCTGTTTACTGATGATAATAGTGAGAAATGGCAGAAAGAAGGAGGGGGTCACTTTTTTTCTTGGCTATAAATTTTATTTTTTTTTTTTTTAGTGAATTTTTCTGAATCTCTGAAGATTTTTTTTTCTGAGCTGTTTCTTTACTTGATCACACGCTTATATTTTCACACCCCAAAAAAAGTAAATTAGGGATAAAAAAAATATAAGCATATGATCACCTTTTTTGAAAAGGTGGTTTCATTCAAACTCAGGAACAGCGCGGAGTCAGAAAGGACGACTATGCTCATTACCCGCAGTGAACTGCTGCCACCTGCTGGTCGAGCATCAGACCTGCACGGAGCTTCTGTGCTGTCTTGTGGGGCTGAGCGGGAGGTCAACCAGCTTGGCTCTCCACCAAAGGATAGGAGGTAAAACTAGAGCCAAAACCCACTCACTGCCATGGAGTTGATTCTGAGTCATAGCGCCTCTACTGGCAAAGCAGAATTGCCTCACAGAGTTTCCAACACTGCAAATTCTGTCAACTGTCATACCTTCCCAACCCCAACCCCACCCCGCCCCCAAGCTGGTGTGTCCAATAGCTTAGGCGCCCAGCATGATACCCACCATGTCACCCGGGCTGCATGGGAGTTTAAAAAGATGGAGGAATCAAACATTGTCTCAGATTGGAATGTCCTTGTGGTTTTCATTGTTTCTTGGTCAATAATATCAGTTTTTAAGGTACATGTTCTGTTTATTACTCATAACAGTGACAGCCTTGAGGGTGAGGAGGGACCTCATCTGTGTGTCCAGCGTGCCTGCATCTCAGACCAGAACTGCTCATGGCCCCGGCCTGGGACCAAGTTCAACTTCCCAGTTTTCCCGTCTCTGCCTCACAGAATTTCGTTGTTGAGTGCCTTAGAGCCAGAGCTAACCCTCCAGCAGGTCCTCAGAGGCTGTAAGTCACACAGAGGTTGATTGTGTATCTTTCTCCCATGGAGCTTCCGGTGGATTCAAACTGCGTCCCAGCACACTTTCTTAGAAAGTATATTGGAAGTGGTCCAGTAGAAGTCAGACCAAGAGAGGGCAAGCAGCTTGGCCAGGCCACACAGCCAAGAATGACTAAGCAAGAATGAGAACTCATCTGCCTGCTGACCCCAGCACTGCCTCCTCCTCAGGCCAGACCCCGGTATTGTGAGGAAGGGATGAGCCAGACCAGAACCCTGCCCTGCCCTGGGGCGAGAGCAATGAGAAATGGAAAGAGAGTGAGAACCTGCAGGAGAGTCTTGTTCCTCTTTTTTTCCTCTTCTTTTTCTCTCTTCTGGGAGAAGAGTCCTCCTGCTCTCAGACCCCTGAGTCAGCCAGCAGGTCTCACTCACTTGCTAGGGCAGGTGTTTGCAGGAGCTAGGAGGAGGACTTCTGGGCAATTTACAACCTCAGCTTGGACTTGATGGGCCTGAACATGATGGAGGCTGTGGGCCCAGCCTGGGTTGGGAACAGCCGCCCCCTCGTCTTCTGCCCTCATTGGCCTGACTGTCAGTAATCATTCAGATGCTTCTGAGTCCAGCTGCCCCCTCAGCTTTAGCCCAGAGAATTCAGCCAGACCCAGGCTCCCCACCCGTGTCTCCTCCGTTGGACCTGAAGGGAATAGGGTGGGGTCCTGAGAGTGAGGTGCCCGCTCCTCCATGGCCAGGACAGAGTCTGGGCATCTCTCAGCTCAAGAGCATGACTTCCTCAGCACTGCAGTCACAGGGCTGTGGGTCCTGAAGGGGCAGACCTTCACGGAGGCTCCCTGGGCCCAGTGACCACTACAAGTGGCTTCCTGGGCATGGCTCCTCACAGAACATTGCAGTGAGAGCCAGCACCAGGCAGGGGAACTTGGGACCAACCCTGGAATCAGAATGGAGACTGTGCAATGTCTCTAGGTCCTAATGTGGATTAGAGCAAGGGGGAGACTATGAGAACTGAAGGGCTTGGATCATCTCAGCCACATTGGAAAGAGCTTGGATTTCTCCTCCTGTTGTTACTAAGTCAGGTTTCCTCTTATCATGCTTGCCTCTTCCAGGTTGCCTTCCCTGACTGCCAAAAAAAGTGTAGCTGTGCTCCCAGGGTGACTGGCCAGTCTCTGTCCTCCATCATTTAAGCCCAAGACTCTGAATTTCCCACTCACCTTTGCTCCCACTACCAGGAAGTCCTCCAGGACTGAGAAGCCTCTACTCTGGCCTGGCCTATGTATGAGTACCAGCATGCTCTGGCTATAATTCTGAGTGCTCCTGGACACTGCTCCCCTCTGGAAACTCATATGGACCGACCAGGGGTGGAGGGAGTCTTCTCCCTGTCTCCTACTCCCCTGTGGGTACAGCATATACCTAGCCTCAGCCCAGCATTTTCTTTGTGAACCAAGGGCTGCTTTAGGAACGTTCTGCTCCCTGGTGACTTGGCCAAGGGGCTGGAGGTGACCCAGAGGAGTCAGGTCTTCAGGAGAAAAAACACACTTGTCAGAGAGGGAAAGGGACCATCTTCATACCTGCAGCCAGTTCCCCC